CAGCGTCCCGGCAACGCCTCCCTCGATGCCATGCAAGGCCCCCTGTGATCATCTGTTTCAGAGTAGCAGCCGTGTTAGTCTGTATCCGCAAAAAGAAGAACAGGAGTACTTGTGGCACCTTAGAGACTAACAAATTTATTAGAGCATAAGCTTTCGTGGACTACAGCCGAAGAAGTGGGCTGTAGTCCACGAAAGCTTATGCTCTAATAAATTTGTTAATGAAATAGAAAAGGTAATCCTGAATTGCCTTTGATTGATGAACAGATGAAGATTCTGGAAACTGCTTCCATCCCTTAGACAGGAAACATATTTCAGAAGTACCTACTAGTTCTCTCCCAAATCATCTCATCTTCCAAATCCCTCGATCTCCCTTAGTCATTCCTATGGACTTCTCTACATTACAGAGAGATTAAACAAGGCAGGCAGATGATCTGCAGCATCCTCAGCTCTTGGTTATCTAAGATGGATTTCTCCTGAGACCCCATTAGAAGGCACATATTCTTAAAGGGCAGATTTCCATTCTTCAACAGTTTGGTTACTATCCCTTCCATAGATTTGTCATGTAATTTGAATGCTGTCCTACATGGAATGACACTATTCCTATAGTCTTATCTTTTACATCACTCCTGGGATTTCCAGGAGTCTCTCTGTTTGCCTTCAGGTCCTCTTTAGACCAATTTGCAGGCTGACATCAGAGGACTGCTGTTCTTTCTCTTGCTCTCTCCAACTAATAATATTTAAAGCCATCTATTTCACTTTGCATTTGACACAAAGGCAAGCAAGTACATTTTAAAAATCACCTGTTGGGTAAGTAATAAAAGCTTTGAGTCATTAAATTTATACACATTTTCCTTAGTCTTTGCCAAGTTATTTCTGAGCTTGGAAGGATTCAATTTATATCAGTAAATGTCGGTAAACGTTGATTTCACAGTACACATATACACTAACAAAAAATATTTCCAGTAATGATAATAGAAATTTATAGATAGGCAAAGTAAGAAAAATGCTGGTTGTGAATTTATTAGTGTTTGATTTAAGGATATTTACTCTGTATATTTTTACATGTGATCTTGACCCCTCCCCCTCATAATTTCAAACAACTGTGAATATTTAAATTGATAACAATAAAAAAGTTTACAAATAAACATCGATATTATCCATCCAAATTATTTTAAAAAACTGAATTCTGCCAAGCCTAGTTATGTGCAATAAAACAATTTGACTGTCTTTGACCACACTTAATCGTTGACTATCAGAGTAGTGTAAGATATCCCTCAGACACAGTCTGATTATATTATACAGAAAGATTACATTAATGCTTCCTGCGATTTTGGCTGGGACAGCTGCTAACCGTGACGATATAATCAAAGGTTCCACTAAGGTGTCTGTCTTCCCCATTCTATTTAGCAGTAAGATTTTATGCAAATTCTTTATAAGATCTCTTGGCAGCTCACATTTACTGTTTTCTTTTGCCTGCATTTGCGTGCCATGTAAGCCCGGGAGCCTACACCACAGTGACCCACATTCCAAACCAAAATCTATTTAAACACAAGGCCATTGACTGTATCAGTCATAATGATTTTATATGGGACTTTAAAAGGATAGGCTTGTTTAGTGCAGAAAAATTTGTCAGATGTTCACAGCCTGAATTTCTGTGTTTAATTAGTCAGAGTAGTATACTTATATAAAACATTACTGGAAAATGCAAGCGCGCACACACACACACACACTTCTTGATTTTTATTTTTAGATGCTTTTATAAAAACAAGCCATACCAGCTGTGAAACAAGTCCTCTCATTTGGTGTTCACTGCTTAAACATTTGCAGTTAATTAGTTTATATTAATATATTGCTGATTAGCCAAATAAAATGGCATATCTACCACTCTCATTCTGGGGCGGGGAGGTAAGATTTTTCTTAAAAGGACCTGCTGCACTTGTCTTACATATATTCCTGTTTAATGTAAAGTGACCCAATTCACATAAAAGACCCATAATTACATACTTATTTCAGACTTTAAAGGACCATATGATTTGTTAGAGAGATAAGGTGGGTGAGGTAATATCTTTTATTGGACCAACTTCTGGTGGTGAGAGGGACGAGCTTTAGAACTTACAAAGAGTTCTGAAGAAGAGCTTGTGTAAACTCGAAACTTGTCTCTCTCACCACCAGAAGTTGGTCCAATAAAAGATATTACCTCACCCACCTTGTCTCTCTGATATCCTTGGATGAACATGGCTACAACAACACTGCATATATGATTTGTTGTGACTGTTTCTGTTTTACAACTGATCAAAATCTCAGTGCATTTTTTTCCTTAAGTAGAACCTTCCATAATTATCATCCATAATCAGCAGGTGACGAATAACCGTAGTGCTTAGGACTTATATAGTACTTTACAAAGGCTGGGACAAATTCACCCTAGGGTTTTATGAAGGTAAATACTAGTGGAGGACCAAAGAATTAGAAGGTCTGATGAGGGGGAGTTTATAGCTGCAGAAAGAGCCGCTGCCTAACTTGCACTGGAGTGGAGGGGAGAGATATAGGGACCTGCACAGTCCAAAAAGAGGGCAGGGCTACCTAAAAAAGGGCTGTGGCCTGGAGAGCAGGAGTGCATTGATTCAATCCTTTCCTTCAGCAGACTCCCCTGGTAGGGCACTTATGAAGTTTTGGCCATAAACTAAAGCTGCTGTAGCCAGAGAGAACCCAGAGGGAAGACAGTGATGGTGAAACCACCTCCATTCCCTCACAGTGACGCTTCCCTGTAGCAAAAGGGGCTTGATGGTGCAAGGAAGTGTAATGCACACCTCCCAGCATTACGGGTCTGATTCCACCCCACTGA